AAAAAAATAAAAAAATAAATAATAAAAATAAATAATAATAACAAATAAAAAATTAAACAGAGATCTTTCAACCCGTCTACTCCCCCCCCCTGCCCCCTTCCCCGCTCCCGAGACCCCTCCCCCCTTCCCCCCACCCCCTCCGTCTCCTCATTCCTTGAAACAACTAGAGTAAATGGACCTCCCCCCCCCTAAAAAAAAAAGTGTGTTTAATTTGCATAATTCCACCGAAATCATCTTTTCCCACTCTCCCCCCCCTCTCTCCCCACTCCTCCCCCCCCACACACACACTCCCCACACACTCCCACTCCCCCCCCCCACTCATCTCCGGCAACACCCCTTCTCGCTTTTGGTCTTTTCCTATTTATTTTATTCGGCTTTTTTATTCATGTTTCTTTTGTTTGCTTTATCATTCTTCTTTCCTTTGTTTATTTTTTTTCAAACTCCCTGGTTATTTTTTATTCTAAATTTTGAAAATTCATTCGTGATTTCCTTTTAAAACCATTCGTATTCTTTTTAAACATTATTCTAAATTCTATTTCAAAAAAAATATTATTAGTTTTATTCTCATCTCCAATATTCATTCTTAATCTTTTAATCTTTTATTCTAATTTAATCTAAATTCTATTTCCATTTTCAAAATTCATTCACTTTTTAATAAAAAGATCTTATTTCTCCCATGTTTTACACGAAACGAAAAAAAAAAAAAAAAGAGAGAGAAAGAGAGAAGAGAGAGAGAGAGACAGACAAACAGACACAGAGAGAGAGAGAGAGAGAGAGAGAGAGAGAGAGAGAGAGAGAGAGAGAGAGAGAGAGAGAGAGAGAGAGAGAGAGAGAGAGAGAGAGAGAGAGAGAGAGAAGAGACGAGAGAGAGAGAGAGAGAGAGAGAAGAGAGAGAGAGAGAGAGAGAGAGAGAGAGAGAGAGAGAGAGAGAGAGAGAGAGAGAGAGAGAGAAGGAGAGAAGAGAGAGAGAGAGAGAGAGAGAGAGAGAGAGAGAGAGAGAGAGAGAGAGAGAGAGAGAGAGAGAGAGAGAGAGAGAGAGAGACAGAGACAGACAGAAGACAGGAGAAGAGAGAGAGAGAGAGAGAGAGAGAGAAAGAGAGAGAGAGAGAGAGAGAGAGAGAGAGAGAGAGAGAGAGAGAGAGAGAGAGAGAGAGAGAGAGAACCAGACAGACAGACAGACAGACAGACAGACAGAGAGAGAGAGAGAGAACACGCACCAACAAACTAACCACATTTCTATAGTTAAGATAGCTCTATAACCTTTTGCCGAATGATGCCATCAAAAGTTAGATGGGTCGTGTTTTATTGCTTGTATGTTCACCGCAGGGAATATGATTTTTCTGTCTTTTATATTCGGAATCAGATCAACAAAATCGTATTTTCCTATTAATTTTCTTCGTATTTGACCTCTGTTCATATATATGTATGTACACACACACATATGTATATTTATGTATGTATATGTGTGTGTGTCTGTGTATGTATATGTATATGTATATTTATCTATATATCTAAGTATATATATGTGTGTGTGCATATTCATATAAATATATACATATGTCTATATGAATATACATAAACACACACACATATATAATAATATATATATATATATATATATATATATATATATATATGTATTACACTAGATTCACTCGGCTAAATGAGAAACACGGACATCTTTTACTATTCTGCGAAGCACGATAACAGGATCATCCGGTCCAGTGACATGTACAAAACAAACCAAAGAAGATTCAAAACGAAATGAGAATATGAAGTTTTCTCCAAGGAATTATTCTAAGCCTAATGCACTCGGCGCGAAATGCAAAACATCTTTCCAGGACTACTATTTCACCACAAATGCTTACGAATTCGAAAAAGTACCGGAAATCTTTTGACTCCCCCCCCAAAAAAAAAAAAAATAACAAGAAATAAAAATAATAAATAAATAAAAAATAAAATAAAAAAATTAAAAAAATAAAAAAAATCAGGCAGTTTACCACAAAATGAGGAAAACTTTACATGAAAATCGGTACATAAATCCGGGTTCTGTATGTTAAAATAGTTGTCTTACTTCAAAAAACATGACAGATTTCCGACACAAAGATGAATCCGCATAAAAAAGTATTATACACAAACATACCAAAATGCAGAAATAAAATTTTATTTTATCATCGTCCTGAAATCCCCAAAATTGCAGGAATAAAATCTAATTTAATCATCGCACTGAAACTACCATAAAATACCCCTTACGAACAACCCCAAACGACGCTCAACCACGAAACCCAGTACAAACAACCAGTTGATTTCCCAAACAACCAGTTGACATACCCCTAACTACCCTAACCACCGTGGGATAACCAGCACGAACTGTCAAATGCCACCCAAACTACCAGTTAATCTAGCCCACGGTACTCAGGACACCTCGAAATACCGACCAGAGTCCCAAAACATCAGTGTTTTCACCGCTAAGAACCGCCACGCCGTAGTTACGTCCCCTAC